GGTTTCACTTTCCACAGTTTTGGTTACCCGGGATCAATCATGGTCTGAATAGGAAAATTCTAGAAATATAGGAAATTCTAGACATTCTAACTCGTAAGTTTTTAATTATGTACCATTCTGAGTACTGTGATGAAATTTCTTATGGTCCCATTTCATCTCTCCTGAGATGTGAATCATTTTTTGTCCAGGGTATCCATGCTGTAGATGCTACCTGCCCATTAGTCTCTTAGTAGCACTCTTGTTGATCAAATCGACTGTACTGACATAGCAGTGCTTATGTTCAAGTAACCCTTATTATACTTAACAATGGCTACCAAATGCAAGATTAGTGAAGCTAACAACTCAGGTATGCCAAAGAGAAAACATAAGGTATTTTGAGTGAAAAGGTAAAAATTTTATACTTAATAGCAACAGGAAGAAAAAAATGCATGCTAATATCTACGGTAAGAATTCCATGGAATAGTGAAGAGGGAAAAAAACAACAGCAGCCAAAAAAAAAAAAAGAAAAAAACCCCAAAAAAAACACTTGTGCTAGTTTTGCTGTTGCACCTCAAACTACAAAAGTTACTGCCCCCGTGCCTGATAGTTAAAACAGAAAATACACATATATAAGGTTCAGTATTATTCAGGCATCACTGCAGGACTTGGAACTTATCACTCATGGATAGGTGGGACTACTATATTTTGCAACCTGAAGGAGCTGGCTTAGCTAACTGACAAACACTTAGAGAAGAAACAAATGCATTTTGTTATATGCCACTCATTTCATAAATATTGGTTACACACGAAAAATGGACTGTTCCATGAGGGAATAGTGAGTTTGGTCTACCATGTACTAGTTAAGCTAGAATATCTGTATCTGTAAAATGAGAGGTTTGTGTTAATCAAATTCTAAGTTATTTAACAAGATTTACAACTTGCGATGGCAGGGCGCTGTGGCTCAGGCTTGTAATCCCAGCACTTTTGAAGATTGAGGTGAGAGGGTTGCCTGAGCTCAGAGGTTCAAGACCAGCCTGGGCAACTTGGTGAGATCTTGTCACTATAATAAATCAAAAAAACAAGCCGGGTGTGGTAGCTCATGCCTGTAGTTGAAAGGCTGGGGTGGAAGGATCGCCTGAGCTCAGCAGGTCGAGGCTGCAGTGGCTGTGAACATGCCACTGCACTCTAGCCTGGGCAAAAGAGTGAGACTCTGACTCAAAAAAATAAATAAATAAAAATAAAAATCATGATATTCAAGTATACTATTACCTACAGTGCATTTCCTGAAAACAAGTCAGAAGATTGCCAAATTATGAAATGGTTACTAGTGACCATTTCACTAGTGACCTAGTAAAGGTTAGGGGCAAAACACATTCTAGAATCTCTCTGATTAAATTTTTTTGGTCTAAAACAGAAAGAATGAGATTTATTTGGATAACATTTAATAGAGGACCCTGAAGTGTCTACTAAAGGGAGAGAACACCCAGTCAATTGGGTGCAGAGTTTGGGAAGGTAACATGCTACCATTTGATTGAGTCAAATTCCAGGAAGTTAGACTTACAGATCATAAGCAGGCTCTAACCACCCTGAGATCCCTAAGAACCAAGTATTTTCAATAGTTGGCATAAAACAATATTCAACATATAATGGGGAAGAATAACAACATTGAGTGAAAAATAGAAACCAGAGCGTATTGAAGTGTGAAGATGTTTTTCTCAATCTCTCCATGCTTCTTCTTTTGGGATTGGAATTTTCATACAAGGATTCCTGCTTTGCATGAGAGGCTGGACTATGCTATATGCAAGATCCTACTCAACCTTAAAATAACATGACATTCTATAAGGAAGCTTATTTGAGGCATTAATATGTAAAAACTTTTTGTGACCCCCTTCACTATCAGCAAAACTCAACTGTCACTTAACTTATCTTCCTTTAAAAAAAAAAAAAAAGCAGAAATCTCTTTTATACCTTTATTAGACACTTCCATGAAATTCTGGCCCAAGAAATTTCCTTTAGCTATTTAGTTGCCATTTGCATGTGTGCCAAGGAATCATTTCCACAGCAACCATTTATATCTAAAATAAAATTTGCTAATCAGAAAAATTAATATATTTATTTGTAATGAAATTATTTATTAGAAGGGCTTTAATAAATGAGTATAAGTTAAAATTTGGCATGTAAGCAATATTTTTAAAGAAGGAAATGTTCTTATGCAACATGACTAAAATGCCCTCTGGGGAACTCTGAAATCTTTTTTTTTTTTAATTAAATAGAGCTGAGATTATGTGAACCACTAGAATATGAGAAAGAAAAGAGAAAAAGTATAGAACACTGGGGAATGAAAAAATAGATTGTGAAAGGAACAGTGATTTGTTCAAGGTTACCCAGTGAGTCAGGAACAAAGAGGAGAGTTGGGACTGTGCCAAGAACTAAAGCACATCCACATTAATGCCTGTGTGATAAAGCTACCATTTTCAATTGATAATGTACTCATGCTTCTTCTACATGGGGAGACATATTCACACTTATCATTCTCCCAGAATTGAGCATGTGTTACTCCATAAATGTTCATTGAAAAAAGTATAAATACATAAATCACTATCGAAAGGAAGTTTGATAAATTATGATTTCACACATAAAATTTTTGAGACAGGTATTATAGTTAATTTATTTCTTATAGAGATTACTTTAGGTGCAGAAAGATTAAATGAATTTCTCAAGAACACACTGCCATAAGAATTGAGGACATTTTCATCATAACAACTATTCAACAAACCTCTCTAAAGATACTAACTCTTAACAAAACACAAAATGGGTTACATTAAACATAAAAAAGTTGAAGATTAAAAAAAATCTAACAACAACACCCTTTGAAGAACTCAAAGTCAGATACAAAATTTATATTTAGGAGAATGGGAATAATTTGATATATGTGATTGATTTTACTAGTAATTAATTGAGAGTGTCTGTACAAGATCCTTAGATGCTATTTATAAATTATTTCTACATGAGGACAACTGGCAGTTAAGCCATGAGAATCCCAATAGAAGGTTTTGAAATGATATAGATCAACCACAAGGAAGTGTCCTCCTGACAAAATCAAGCCTCTGTGCTGCATGTCTACTAGGAAGCACTACTCACCTGCTTTGCCAATGGCTATAGTAAGGAGATTTATTTGGGACATAGGATTCCTTAATATATATGTGGATCCCTATCCTGAGTGTAAAAAAACTGTTCCTAATTGAGAGGCAGAAAACAATAAATGGAAGAAAGACATAAATAGCAGCATATCAGAAGTTAAAAAACACCTCAGATTTTATAGCTAGGCTATTTGGGTTCACTCTTGGATCTGCCTCTTACTGTGAGTCCTTGTGAAAGTTACTTAACCTCTTTATTACTCAGTTTCCCCATCTGTAAAATAAATAAATTAATAGTACCTACCCCATAGGATTATTATAAGGATTAAATTAGTTATAATTAGTTAAGTGCTTAGAATAGTGCTAGACAAACAATAACCCCAATACAAATGTTTGATAAATAAAGGAAGACATGAAAAGTGAGAAAATAGTGGACACTGGTGCCTTGAATACACTGCTTCATTTCCTTCTACAGAGCCCTTAACTTTCTACAACTGGAACCACTTGATTCTTACTAGTAAGCTTAACCCCGTTTCCGGTCTGACCCCAAACTGTTCCTGTGCAGGATGATTTAAGAAGCCCTAGTTCAGTAGTTTAAGTGATTCAGCATCAAGTCAAGCTTGCTATTATTCTTGTCCTGACCCTGTGTCCCAGTTTTAGTCCCCTGTTCTTATAATCAAGTCCCAAACTTGTACTCTAGTTCTTGCATTCTGCTCCCCTGTGGCCGTGTCTCAGCCTGCGGAACCTGCTCAGGACCTCCAGTTCCTTGGAGGTAAACGTCTCTCGAAAGGGAGCCTATGGACTAGACACACTTTGTTTGGCAAGCACAGTGTTTGAACTTTTGGAAATTGGTTGCCTATATTTAGAAATTGCAAACATGTACATTAAAAATTCAAATTTCCAACTCGTTTTGAAAAACTGGATGATCTGGCAACTCTAGACGCCAAGTGGCTGCTGCCCTCTTTGGAGGGCCATGTGCTTTCTGCTCCTCACTGTCCCCGCTCCACCTGTTTGACTTGTTTCTATGATTTGCCTGGTCATTGTAGGCATTTAAGGTTGGGGTCTGAGACTGAGAACAGTCAATGCTTACCAAACACTTTGTGCCAGGTACTGTTCCAAATGCCTCACATGCTTCATTCATTTGATCAAAGGCCAGGAGTCAATTTGTTCTTATCCACTATCCCTGCAACCCTTATTCCTTGCCTTATACACTGTCTGCATGAATCTGTGGCTGTCCTGTCTTCCTTAATCACTATTCTCTACCCATTAGCTAGGAACCACTCAGGGCTAGGAACCATTATGTGGGACTTTCATAATGTCAACCACTCATCCCCAGTGTGGCCTATTGCTGGCCACCAAACTTCCGTGCCCAGACTCTATCTTCAAGAACTTTGACCATTATAGCATAGATGTGTGGTATAAACAAAATGCTGGCTTCATTGATCTGCCTGATCCTACTGTCTCATGTTCCATGCTTTTTTAAAAACTGTACAATTCATTATATATTGATAGACTGCACCTCACAAAATTTTTGCTCTAATTCTTATTAGACAGAATACCAAGAAAATCCATCAAAATAGTCATCGAAAACTTACTTTATGTTCTAGGCTCTGTAACAGAAATTGATTTGACTATTCCTTTTATAAGAACCCAAAGAAATTTGTCCATGTCTGCTATGAGCAATTCAGTCTCTTTCCAGTGTACCACCTAGCATGCTAACATTATTTGGACAGAATTGGTTGGTGTTTTTTCATAATGGACCCTTATATTTTATAAAATATTAATAAAAGAGGAAAATAATTGCATGACAAAGCCAAAATTTAGTAAACATTAAAATAAATTTCAAAAAACTAATTCTATACATCATTTCATGAGATTATTTTGCTAAGACAAAACTACGTGTTGACTTTTCAGTTCAGCTGGAAAAGTTCTGTCATAGTTTTTAAAGAAAGTCTTAATAAAAATGTTACTTACATAAGGAATTGTGTCCAAAGTATCTGTGTTGACAATTATGGGAGCAGGGCTGGCCTAAAAAAGAGAAATAGAAAATAATTTTAAATAACAGATAGTTGATTCTGAGACAGAGTCTGTTAACTCATTTAACAAATAGCTAGCTCAACAAATCTTCGTTGAGGACCTGTACGGGCACTGCATCAAGTGTTAGGGGGATAAAGAAATGGCTCAGAGTTCTTTTACCTTTCCCTATTTCAAATATTTGTTTTCTACATTTATCACAAAAGGAAATAAAGTAAGGATTCTTAGAATTTACAGTCATTTTCTCATAAATTCTACAGAACAGTGTAGAAGATGAGGACTTGTGCTATATATGAAGCAAGAGTTTCTAAATACAATGGGTGAGAGTAAAAATTTATAACATTTCTGTATAAAATGTCTTTGCTAAAGACATTTGGTTTATCTCTCAAAGAAGCAAAATTAAACCTAAACCAATATTCATAGTTCTCTTAAAACTACATTTTGAGAGCATGTTGTATTCAATGCAAAAAGGATTCACTTATCAACATCTATGTTTATCTACAGGCTGTGTCATATATTTTCTTTGTCATTTATACACCTCTATTCATATATCTTAGAAATCCTTAGATGAAAATTAAAAATTAGTCAAGGATGACAGAAAACCATATTGGATATGTTAAACTTTCTTTTAAAAAATTGTACAATATGCAGTAATTCCCTTTAAGGTTGAGTAGGAATCTGCAAAACTGATAAAGATTGCTACAAGCCCAGTCATTAGAAAATACGAGATTGAAATCTCTATTTGCATCACCAATCTGACTTCATGAATATTGAGTAGACCTATCTTTATTTTTTAGTTTCCTGAATTTTCACAGCAACGTTCCCTTTATCCCCAAATGAATCTTTAGCCTTCGTCCCAAATTACAGATTTCATTTAGATAAAGGAAATACTTTCATCATGATTAATGGAGAACTGTTCTATATGACACGGTGGTTTTGGAAAGCACTCAGCTTCTGGGACATTTCATTAGCTGTGCCCTGGAGTTAACAGAATTAACAGCTTTCTAATGTCAATCTGTGCCTGTGGAATCCTAATCAAATGATAAAATTCATAGCAAATCCAGCAGGTTTAACAACAACAACAAAATTCCACATCTTCACTAAAAACACCAGGCATGGTAAATGTAACCCTGACTTACATATTTACATAGTGTATCAACTAGTCATTCATGATAGTTAGTTTCATGATTCTCAATGGGAAGTATCTTGTGGGTAAATATGGATTTTGAAGTAAGATGGTTTTCCTGGACCTCCCCCTCCCCCCTACACAAATGATTCTTATTAAAAGGTACGTGCTTTAGAGAAAAGGATATGAGGTTTGGAATCAGAAGACGTGGACCCAGTGGTGGTTCAGCAACTTCCTGATTGTATGATTTGGGGCTCAGTAACTTTCTGGTGGTGAGATCTGAGGGCAAGTCTGCTAACCCTTTCTGACTCATTTTCCTTCTCTGTAGAACGGAAACAGTAGTAACAACTTTCCAAAAGGGTTGAAGATCAAAAGAGATTATATATTTGAATGTGTTTTGTGAACTGGAAATTTCAGAATTAATGTTAAAAATTATTAGCAAGTGTCCCTTAAGACAGACTACTCATTAACAAGGGTACCTGCATAATGAGTATTTGTATGCCTAACCCTGAATTGTACCCCACATCTTCAAAATTGAAAATTTTTAAAAAAGAAAAAGAAAAGATAGACTACTGTGAAGTTATATTATTAGATGGTTTGTGAACTGTTTACACCGCAGAGATCTCAATGCTAGGTTAGTGGCTACAACTGGACTCAAGAGGCCTAATTAGATTGTGTGTTCTAAGACAACCTCTCATGTCAAAGGCAATAATAACCATTTACTAATATGCATTAATGTATTACAATTTATTAAATGTGTGTAAGCATATGCATATATATCCTCATTTAATCTCCACAAAACTGTACCGATGGGGCATTATTATCACTACTTCTATGTTATAGATGGACAAACTGATGCTCAAGGAAAATGAGAACTGAAATTTGAACACTGACCTAATGTCAAAACTCAATTTTTCCTTACAAAGCTGCTCCATGATCTCAGGGGGGAGCCCTATGCTAGAGCATCATACAAGACCTAGACAAAGCAAAAACCACCCTGAAAGCAAGAGATGCTTAAAGGAACTGAAGGTTAAATGTTGGTAGCAATTTGGTGGGGACTTAATATGTACTTTTTTTTTCCTTTAGTTTTTGTTTGCTTGTTTTTAAGTTGAGGTCGCACTCTGTCACTCAGGATGAAGTACCAGTGGCACAATCAGGCAGCCTCAACATTCTGGACTCAGGTGATCCTTCTGTCTCTGCCTACCGTGTAGCTGGGACTACAGGCATATGCCACCATGCTTGGCTAATTTAAAAAAAATTTTTATAGACATGAGGTCTTGCTTTGAGGCACATGCTGGTTTTGAATTCCTAGACTCATGCAATCCTCCTCTGGCCTCCAAAATTGCTACCACTTTAGGCGTGACCCACCATGCCCAGCCTGCTTTCAGTTTTGACAGCATCTCTCCTATCCTTTGTGCTTGGTTTCCAAGACTCTCAAATGTGCCTCGTAGTCACGACTAGACTGAAAATTCTCTGAGTATCACACCCAACACTTGAATTTACCTCTATTGCCCAGTAGAGCTTTGATCAACAAATAGGTATTGATTTGATCTTTTTTTCTTATAGATTATATTAATGTGTTATGGAAATAAATTTCTTACATAAACCCATTTCCCATGCTATGCCATTTATGACTTTTGCATGTTTTGTTGCTATTTTCCATTTTACCTATAAAATGTATTCTTTCCAATAAGACTCTATGTTTAAAAATTGACAAGCCTGTAATCCCGCGCCTTTGGGAGGCCGAGGGGAGTGGATTGCCTGAGCCCGCGGGTTCGAGACCCGCCTGGGCAGCAAGACCTCGTCTCTACAATAAATAAAAAAATCAGCCGGGTGTGGTAGCGCACGCCTGTAGTTCCAGCTACTCGAAAGGTTGAGGCGGAAGGCTCGCCGGAGCCCAGCAGGTCGAGGCTGCGGTGGCCGGGAGGGGCCACTGCACTCCAGTCTGGGCGACAGAGTGAGACACCAACTCAAAAAAAAAAAATATTGACAAGAATTGTATACTTCTCTAGAATTCTCCACAGACTGTGTACACAGGAGGTCAATAAATACTTAGAAAGCATTGGCTAAATGTAGTGAAGTATAGATAAGACACAAAGGAAAGTAATATATCTTCATAAACTTTGTAGAGCATTTCTAAGATAACCTGAAAATCTCTTATGTTACCAACATGATTGTGACTACTTTTCCAATATTCAGTATCACCTTCTTCCTTTCTTCAGTCATTATTACTTAACTGAATTGAGCTTTTATAAAGTAGTAATTAATATTAACAGGTTGTGGGATGTGTGAATCTTGAAATATAAGATCTATGTTATGTGGAATGTATACGGAAAGCTTGTTACTTCTTGGTGCTAAAACGATCCAGAAGCCACAATTAATACCTGTACCTCTAAAAGTCAATAGAAATGCATGAGCAAACAGGAGGTGTGAATTGTGTGAACACACACATATATTTGGCATGGGCAACTCCCTGGTATGAGTGCCAAAGAGATGCCATGGTGGGCTCTTCTGAGTAACACACTACCCCACTGTGCTGCTACAGCAGGCTCTCTGAAGACTCTCCCTCTGCTCTGCTACAGGACCCTCACAGCCTACCCCAGTCTATTTTTACAGAATTTTTGGTAATCCTTTAGGCACTCAGTGACACCTATATCCACAGAGAATAAAAATTCATAGTGGTAGAAACACAGAATGTAGTTGAATTTCAAGCATGGTCAGGAGTATGCTCTTCTCATCAGTTAGTAATTCCAGATCTTCTTTTAGCTCAGCCTGGCTCCTGTTTCTTTGTCCACTTTTGCAATCAAGAGAATCCCTGCATGGTTTGATCTAGTTTGGTCTCTGAGTCTTAAAGACAAATTTCCTGGTTACTTTGATGATTCCCTTCAGGTTTTTTCTCTACACTCCACACTGCTCTGCCATATGCACCCTCTCTTCATATTGGATATCATCTTACTAGACCTCTTAAACAAACTGGTGACTTAGCAGATTCTACTCTCCCCTCTAATATGTTTATTTATCTTAACTGGGAGGAAATTTATAACACATCTGAAAAACAAAAAAATAAAACCTATCCTTTAAATCAGAAATGTCAAGGCTTGTTTTTATGTAAATCTAGGCAAGATTTCAAAGCTATAAAGGATTAAGAAAAATCAGTCTTTTGGGGGGTGAACCAAACGATAAGAGGCAAATGGTTTGCCATTTTATTTTGATCTGCCTTTTACAATACATGCTCTTCCATGCAAAGAAAGCCAGTTAACAGCAAGAAGGAAGAATACAGTTAATCACAGAGAAGCAAGCAGAGAGAATATTGATAACATTTAAATTATTAGGTCAAATTATTCACAAATTATTCACAAGCTACCTTCTTGTGCATGGGTTTCATTAGATACCCAAATATTCCTAAAATACATCAATAACTTTGCTTATGCTAGTAATAGATAAATTTCTGTTGTCTGTTACCAAGAATTTCTAAATAAAAAAGAATCAGACATAATGAATGAAAATTCAGAGGAGTTCATGGATTCTGACTGGGTTATTTCCTGATATTTGTTCACTGCTGGATCTGGGAAATACCTCTGAAATAACTAGGCAGGTGGCCATACAATCAGCCACAAGTCTGCTAAGAAACACTCTCTGGGAAGCTTAGTACTAAGAAGCTCTGGCTTATCAGTGGGAAGCGCAGAAGACTGAATCTAGTACCTAATCTTTTAAGAAGCAAGGTAGAAAAGGAGAGAAACTGGCTAGCACATCTTGTGAGCATCAAGAACTGAACAGTAATGCTCATAAGACAGGGAATTATGCAAGAGACTTCAACTGACCTGGGACATGTGAGTGGAAGCCAGGTGGGTGTCAGTAGGCCAAGTTA